TAAATCTGAATAATGCATCTGACTGGGTTAAAAGATGTGGGTTTTTTTTTTGTAGTTTTTAGTTTTATTTTATGCTAATCTACATAATTCATAAGGCCGCAAAAGCAAACTTTTATTGCAGTATGATTTAAAGTGTTTTTGTCATATGAAGCAACACGTAACAACTGTATAAGCGCAAAATGTTGTTTTTGGTTTTCAATATACATTTTTGTCTACTTAAAATATGCAAAAAGACAAAACTATAAATTAACATTGAATGGTTTTTTATTATTAGGAATCGTTACTCTAATCCAGTTCTGGAATCACATTTTTCGAAAGCTGTTGCTTCGCTTCAACAAACTCATCAGTCGCCGCCAGTAATGAGACCATATAAAACTAAGGTTTGTCTTTTACTTGCTATACATTTATGACTTTTATCACTGCATTATTTGCTATCAATTTTTATGAGTTTTTACAACAGTTTTACCTTGAAAATTTAATTTTAAATATTTTCTTCTTGCTACTGATATATGCATCATAAAAACATGAGCTACTTATACAAATTTTTTTTTGCACATTTATTTCTTTGTCACCTATTGAATAAAGTTTAATTTAGAAGCAGCAAAAGAACGACCGAGAAAAAGTTGTGTTAGCAGAACAGTTTCAAGGTGATATTGAAGTCTCAGAGACAATAGTACTTCCTCCTGTTCAAAAGAAACTGAAGGGTGAACGTTTGAATTTCACTCAAAAATGGCTTGAAGGCGACATCAAATCATGGATAACAGCCCCAGCAAAATCCGATTTCAGTATGGATGGCATGGATGATGTTAGTGGTTTAATGTACCCAAACTTTTCAAAATTTTTTGCTTACTAATGTTACATTAGTTAGTATTAAAAACTGTCAATTAAAAACTGGATAACATGTAGTCAGTTAGATAAATAAGTAGAAAATACTCACGAGTATCACTGAAAAAACTGCTTATTATTTGAGCGATTGTTATAAGAAGCATAGAAACTATAAGAGCAGAAAAAATGATATTAAATTTATTAGTAAAATTTTTTCCTTATTTAAGCATTAAAAGTATATTTGGTCAATAATTTTGAAAAAAAGAGGACCAAGTTTGTGTTAACCCTTTTCAAGTTCAGTATAACCGGCATAAAACATAACTCTATATAGTTGTTTCTGGTACTTCTAAACGGTAATGAAAATTAAGCTAATTGAAACAGTAATTTTTTGATAAACTATGATACAGTTGTCTTTTTCTGTATATTTTTCATACCATTTGAATCAGTTTAGGAAGATTCCTTTGATGAAAGGTCATTGGGCAGTTGTTCAGCTGAAGTGGCAGCTATAAATTCGGCTGTTGGGAAAAAAAAGAAAAGCCGCGATATGTCAAATGTTGTGACTAAAGTTATTGAGCCTGCAAAGCCCACCAGGTTCCTTTTAAAATTCTTATATTCTTCCGTGTTAATACTTGATGGTTATTTAAAGACACTATTTGTTTTAAGTGTCTTTCTTTTTTTTGCCTTGTTTTATGTTTACTGCACTGCAGACAGTGGTTAATGACCTTAGTTGTAGGAAAAATGGTGTTTTTCCAAACGGGGATCATCCGGGACAACCGGCAATTATTAAACCACAGGTTGTCCGACCACAACCAGTTTATGGTTTTCCAACTGGTAGTGGTTTTAACTCAACGGGTAATACTGGTGTACCGATTATTACTAACGGTGTTTCAGCGGGTAGCAGTAATGCAAATTTCAATAGCTTTCCTCAGCCTTTCCGTGACATTGAGACAAGGTAATGGAAAAAAGAGCTGCTAAAACAATATTACTTTTTCGTCTGCAGTCATACAAGAATTACTTCACCATGAGCTTGGTTTTTGTCTTCAAAAAGATGTTTCGTCATTGTACTTGGAAATATCAAAATCTATCGGTATTTAGAGGTCGGGACCAGAATCAACTGAACGCTCATTACCCATTAAAACGGGTCTCCTCACACAATCAAGTATTGGACAGGAAATCCAATGAACAATCTTGGAGGTCAAACCAGGTAAAAGCAGATATTTAATTACCGACTAAAAAATTGTTAATCACTTGTTAATACTTTAAACTTCAGGATTTTACCTGAGAAATGATCGATCTTAATTGACTTCAAAATTATTATTTTATAGGAATCTTATAATACTCTTGGCAGTGTAAAGTCAGAAGATATTGGTCTGGGGCGACCAAATGGCGTATTTGTTCAGTACAGTCCAAACAGGCTTTTTGATAAAAAACCTTCTGCAGTGAACACATCAAATGTTGATGCCAATGCTATTAAAATGCGTATAGCACAACAGCAAGACCCTGTATTAACAATAGATGCTCTTGTAGCTGAACTTGAATTGAACACAGATCAGGTGATCATATGTGGCATAGTTGTGACTCTATTTAGAGTAATACTAAATTTTCATACTAGATATCGTTACTCTCATCGTTAATTCTACTGTTTATTCAGTTTAGGCAGCATCAAACTTAAAGCGAAGATCTTTTCCAACAAAGTTCGAGACCTTGACAAATCGACCGTCACTAGATCATCATGGGCAACCGGTAAGCAATAGAAGGCTGACCAACGGAAATACCTCTTTAAAGCCAAGGTAGAATTTTGAAAATAGTTTACTCTAAACTGTTAGAGGCTTTTCGTCTATTAGTTACTCTGAACTCGCAATTATAAATACTGTGTATAATTTAGGGGAAATGATAGCACATCTAAACCTGTACCTAAACAGAAAGATAGCTCTTTTGATGAAATGGCCAACATGCTTCATAATGTTGCTAGTGAAGTTAGCAGGTTGGAAAATCGGCCTCGAAAAACTAGCCGTAAGTGAAGTAAACATTTGCATAACTGAAATAATGACAACATTAGCAACATTAATATTGCATCAAGTACCATAGTGTGGTAACCTAATGAATAATGTGTTTTTTTCTGTTACAGAAATGAACAACTTTGGTAACAATGTTTTATCGCCCTTCGAAACCATCAACCAAGAACGTTTAGAGCCTAGCAAAGTAGAGGCAATACAGTCAATGTTTGAAAACAGGGGTAATTTTTTTCCTCTTTTTTTTTTTCTTTTTTTTTTTT